CATTGTGGAAGACAGTGTGGTGATTCCTCAAGGACCTAGAAATAGAAATTCCATTTGACCCAGCAATCCCGCTACTGGGTATATATCCAAAGGATTACAAATCGTTCTACTATAAGGAAACATGCACACCAATGTCCATTGCAGCACTGTTTACAGTAGCAAAGAGTTGGAACCAACCCAAATGCCCATAGATGATAGACTGGACAGGGAAAATGTGGCACATATACACCATAGAATACTATGCAGCCATAAAAAACGATGAAGTTTTGTCCCTTGCAGGGACATGGATGAACCTGGAAACCAGCATTCTCAGTAAACTGACACAAGAACAGAAAATCAAACACCACATGTTCTCACTCATAGGCAGGTGTTGAACAATGAGAATACATGGACACAGGGAGGGGAGCATCACACACTGGGGTCTGTCGGGGGGAAATAGGGGAGGGACAGCAAGGGGTGGGAGTTGGGGAGAGATAGCATAGGGAGAAAAGCCAGATATAGGTGATGGGGAGGAAGGCAGCAAATCACACTGCCATGTGTGTACCTATGCAGCAATCTTGCATGTTCTTCACATGTACCCCAAAACCTAAAATGCAATAAAACACACGCACACACACATTACAATGGAAAAAATGGGAGTGAGGGTATCTTAGTACTTGGAGTGTATTGATTCAAGAATGCTAAGTGAAGAAAAGATTGCTTTCTACTGTGGCAGAGAAGCTCAGAAAAAGGATAAAGAGTTAAGGGAATCCCTGGATTCCTAAGCAAAAAGGGGCCAATTAGCAATCTAGCCAGCCTTTGGCTAAGGAAATAATAGCCACACTTCCTACTGAGACTTGAATATTGTGTCAACAGCAAAGGCTCTTGATACATGGATGAACCCACTTTTCAATGATTTTGGGGAAGAATGTGGCAGTCTTTAGACAAAGGGGGACTAAGATAGGACACAGTGATTTTTTTTCTTTTTATTAGCATAATAATTTACAATATAACATTTGGTTGGAAGTAGAAACTTGCATTTTTTCTTAACATTTTTTCCCTCAAATTCAGAGCAAGGACATAAGCATGGAAGATATCTAATTAATACAACCAACAATTGTGACTGAAGTCCGTACATTATCAGCCACACCACAGTTTCATTAGTAGATTCATGCCATGTTAGGTCCCATCCAATGGCTGATGTTTTCCACTCTTCAAAATGCCTCCTCCCAAGAATAGTTTAGATTTCCATATTTTTATCGGTCTCTCTGAATATAAAATGCCTTACATTTTTACAATTTTCATCCAAAAGATTTTATTTTTCGAGCAAGAATCCAAGCAATTTCACAGCACTTCAGTTATAAGCTCAGAAGTTTAAAATTATCTTTTTTTCTTTTTTGAGACAAAGTCTCTCTCTGTCTCCCAGGCTGGGGTGCAGTGGCACAATCTCATGTAACTGTAGCCTCAAGCTCCTGGGCTCAAGCAATCTGCCCGCCTTGGCCTCCCAAAGTACTTGGATTACAGGGGTAAGCACTCCGTCAAGATTTAGCTAAAAATATTTATTAGACATTTAATTCTTACATCAGGCAACTAACTACATTGATCTTGACTTTAAAGAACAGTGTAATGGTTACTGATTTGCCCCATTTAACTTCTGTACTTTCTACTTCTCCCAGCCTCCATTGTTTCAATTAGTATGTTTTAAAACATACACTTTTTTTAAAAAAAATAAATAAAGCTCCATATCTTTTTTCTTCTGAAAAGTTATATAGTGAATTTACATTTAAAACCTTCATTGTATAACAAGATAAATTGTTTTAATTGCTAGAATGGGGTCAAGAGAGTCAAATACTTTAAAAACTCTCTTAAAAGAGAGTTACAATTTTCCTGTGAAACTTATTTATACTGGTGTTTATTTTCACAACTGAACTTTAAAAGGAAGAGTCCATTTGGCTGCATTTGAATTGGTGACATTTTTAGGTTGTCATTACCTGCAGAAAGAGTGAATCGGTGCCTCAATATGAATGAGTGGTAAGTGACCTTTTAAACTGTTTTTCAGAATAAGGATTTCTTTCTTTCTCTTACTATATTTTTAAATAAAATATATCTGGATTAGAAACATGATGACCACTAACTACAGTTGCTCAACGTATTCTCTGAGGTAAAAAAAATAAATAAATACAATAAAATAAAACAATTTTAAAAAGCCAATCATTTTCTCTTAAATATTCCTTACATATAGGAATTCTATGAATTGGTAGTTAAAATGTAAATTATATTTGTTTTTTGTCTACTAGGAAAGGAAAATAACACCGTTTTTTTCATTTGTAGTCTACTAACATTCATTGAATACTTGACATATCTACCATGCAGTTTTTAAAATAGGGTTGGAAATACACAGATATATAAAATCCGATCCTCCTTTTAAAGGAAATTTTATTTTCTTGGAAGTGACAAAATATATGAAGATAATTTGGTACAAAGTAATTGTAAGGATGGGTGGAAATAAAATAGTTTAGGGGCTGTCTTTCATTTGTCTCTGCAGATACACTATGCATTCTTCACGCTGCTCTGTTTTCCTGAAAATCCGACCCTCATGAATGACATTTATAAGCTTTGGCTTCTGTTGAGTTTGACAATTGGGGAGGACCCACATAATCTCATCATATGAGGGGGAACTGAAAGAGTAAAGTTGGAGTATTTAGGGGGTATTTAGCATCCTAGCTCCCTTCTTATGACGGCAAAGTAGGCTTGGGTGTGTCCCTGAACCAAAGGCTCAATGCCTGACAGGTGTCTCCTCACACAGCCCTCTCTGTTCGTATCCTCCTAACTTATCTCATGTGTTGTTCTCTCAAGCCTAGGGGTGGCAACTGGTGACTTCAGAAGCAGCACTGAAGCACCCCAGGGTCCTGTAATATCCTTTGTTGCTATACTATACCCTGCCTAATATACAAATGGGAGAGTGCTGCCTGACTCCTATAGAGTCTGGAAGGGAAGTTTTTTGAGAACAAAATGATCGCTTCTCCTTGTTAGGAACAATTTTGTTATCTTTGATTATGTAGTAAATAATGATTAGAAGAGAAACCTGCAAGTTTTTTCTATACTCCATAGCCAGAATCCTTTTACTACTGTGAAAGGAATTATTATGTCCTCCATATTTTAAAATTCATTTTGTTAGGGATGGAGTCTCACTCTTTTGTGCAAACTAGAGCTCAGTGGTGTAATCATAGCTCATGGTAGCCTTGAATTCCTGTATGTCCCCTATTTTAAACAAAAATTTGAACATTAAATTTACAGTTATCTGGACAATATGGGCACGACTTCACCTCCATTTTTATCAGAGCTTTAAAAAAAACTTGAGATGTATTTTATGTACAACAAAATTTACCCTTTTAAAGTGTACTGCTCAGTGATTTTTCATATATTTCACAATTTTGGGTTACTATAACCACTATCCAATTTCAGAACATTTTCATCCCCCTAATAGAAACCCCATACTTCTCAGCTTTCTCTCTCCAATACCCCATCCTCCTCAGATCTATGCAACTACTAAGCTACTTTCTGCCTCTATAGAGCTACCTTTTCTATAAATTTTATATAACTGAAATCATATGATGTGTGGCTTCTTTCACTTAGTGAGATGTTTTCAAATTCATTCATGTTGTAGCATGTATCCATTTTTGGTTCCTTTTTATTGCCAAATAATATTTCATTGTATGAATAATATACCATATTATATTTATTATCAGTTGATGCATTTGTGTTGCTTCCACTTTTGTCTATTTTTAGTAACTCTGCAAATGAACATTTGTATAGAAGTTTTACATATAATGTTTTCCTTTCTCTTAGATATTGATATAGTTTGGATATTTATCACCACCCAAATTGCATATTGAAATATAATCCCCAATGCTGGAAGCAGGTCCTGGTGGGAGGTGTTTGGATCATAGGGGTGGATCCCTTACGGCTTGGTGCTGTCCTTGCAATAATAACTGAGTACTCACGAGATCTGATTGTGTAAATGTCTGTAGCACCTCCCCTCCCCTTGCTCCTGCTTCCATCGTGAGAGATGCCTGCTCCCCTTCACCTTCTGCCATGCATGAAAGCCCCCTGAGGCCTCCTCAGAAGCTGAGCAGATGCCAGCACCATGCTTGTACAGCCTGCAGACTGTGAGGCAATTAAACCTCTTTTCTTAGAAATCACCCACTCACAGATATTTCTTTATAGCAATGCAGGATAAGTCTAATACAGAGATCTACCTGGAAATGAAATTGCTAGGTCACATGGTCACTCTATGTTTAACTTTTTGAAGAACAGCCAGATTGTTTTCCAAAATGGATGTGCCATTTATCTTCCCACCAGCAATGTACAAATGTTCAAATTTCTTCAGATCCTCATGGACATGCATTATTGTCTATCTTTTTTATTATAGCCATCCTAATACATGTTCAGTGGGGTCTTGTGATTTCTTTCATTCTTTTAAATTTATGAATAAAAAGAAATTACATAATTATGCAAGAGCGGTTAATCAACAACAGATGTAGCATGTAATATGTGAATATGATTTAGTTTAAGCAGCCTGCAAAAACAGAAGATAGAACTAAATTTGATCCTATATATCCAAGACCTTGAATCAAAAGGAAATTATCATTCTCCCTTAGAGAAGCTGGGAATGCTTCCCTGAGGAAGTGAATCTCCCTACCTGTGAGAAGCAGATGAGGTTGCTTAGGGTGCTCCAAAATCATAAATATGTCACAAGCAATCACAAAGAAAATGGATAGGGTTTGCCATATCATTCCTCACTCCCAGGAAGGAGGAAACTGACAGAGTTTTACATATCAGAAACTGACAGGGTTTTCCTTATCATTCCCAGGAAGGGGAAAACTGACAGGGTTTTCCTATTGTTCCTCACCTCCCAGAAAGGAGACATTAGCATAGGCCAGAAAGAATGGAGGGAAGAATGTGGCAGGAGGAAAATGTGAAACCATCTTTTCAATATATTTGTGGTTCTATTTTGTTTATGAAAGTAATTTTCTATGACCAGAAGACAAACGTTGGTCAGCATACAGAGGAAAGTGGAGTTATGCTTTCTCTCTTTCTTTTTTTCTTTTTTTTTGAGAAGGAGTTTTGCTCTTGTTACCCAGGCTGGAGTGCAATGGCGTGATCTGGCTCACCGCAACCTCCGCCTCCTGGGTTCAATCAGTTCTCCTGCCTCAGCCTCCCCAGTAGCTGGGACTACAGGTGTGCGCCACCATGACTAGCTAATTTTTGTATTTTTAGTAGAGACGGGGTTTCACCTTGTTGACCAGGATGGTCTCAATCTCTTGACCTTGTGATCCACCCGCCTTGGCTTCCCAAAGTGCTGGGATTATAGGCGTGAGCCGCCGTGCCCGGCCACTTTCTCTCTTTCTTAGGGAGAGTTATGTTGGCTGTGGATCAGCTTGCTTATCCTCTACTCAGCTGTATAATAGACTTCCTGCTGCAATCAGGCAGCACCTACAGATTTTTATTTTCTCATTACCTTGGCTTCATTGTTTTCTAGTTAGAAATGATCACAGCATGGCAAAATAAACAGTAATGGGTATTCACAGAATTTTCTTTCTTTCTGCAGCGACTATATCAGCACAAGTCAGCATATTTTTAATAGATGTGTTGTTAACTAACTCCTAAAGCATTACAACGATACAATGCTCAGAAGCAGGATAAATTTCCAACATGATGCAAGTGAATTCCATTTTCTCACCTCCATCTTTCCTACAAAATTGAAGCTCATGGAAGTCAATAAATATATCTAAAGTCAGGAGATAAGTTATTTCAAAAGGTTGGACTTGAACTGGGTTTTTTTAACTCTCAGTCCAATGTTTACCTCGTTCAACAGACTGCCTATGCATTATGGCACAGTATCAGATATTTTCAAATATTAATATAAATATTATTTTCACCTCTATAACATAGCTAAATTAATATTGGTTTCTTAAAATGTGAGTTTTTATTTTTAATTTTTACCTTGAGTTACTGTCAGTGCTTATTGATTGAGAACTGAGTAGCAAAGTTCAGATTGATAGAAATTAAAAGAATAAATAATTTGTATAATCATAAAGCTATTTTAATGCACATCTTTCCACATATTAGTGATATCTTAATTTTTTTTTTGGAGCAGTCATCATTTGTTTTACAACTTACTTATTTCAATTTAAATAAATAAATGAAGGGATTTCTACTAATAAATGTATCGAAGTGATGATTTTGGCATTTTCTAGACTCCTAGTGCCAAAACACAGGTACCTACCTGACAATATCCACATTACCAGTCCCTAAATCCTTTACCTTCAAATATTTAAGGGGCTGAACTCTGTATGCTGATGCCCATAAACTCCGCTTTTCTGGTTTATCACAAGCACTGTAAGTACAAGTGTTTTTCTTAGAAATTATACTCAGTTGTTCTTACTTTGTGTTTACATAAGTGTCTAGGTAGTTATTAACTCATGCATATAATAATAAGTAGAATTCTTGCTGTGGTGAATTATAATTCACCATAGACCTTCACATATACGAATTTACTTTGGTTTTCAAAATGATCACATAAGGTGAACATTGCTGTTACTTCTGGTTTTATAGTTAAAGGTCAAATTAATTATGTGATCACCCCAAACAACAGAGTCGAGATGTGGATCTCAGCCTTGTTAACCCAAAATTCTCTGCAAAAATCTCTCTGCTGTGCCCTCAGCCTCCCAAGTACCAACGAAACACATTTCACTAATTCTGTACTTCATGTTTTTGTACACTGTTTCTACTTCAAAAATAGTTTTATCAAAGAAATCATCTTTAAGCCCATACTACTCTAGCTTCTTGCCATGGTATATGCACTGAGTATCTATATTTTGTTTGATTAAATCAATTTTCACTTGTTGACATGCTTTTTATAAATTTTCTTATGTTAATTAGATGTATTACTTTATACGCATACAGCAATTTCCATTTTTATTATGGAAGATAGAACCAAAATAGTTGGTAATTTTGGTGATTACAATAGCAGGCTTATTTGGAGACAAGTTCATTCTTATTATTCTCCATGGTATTCATCACATAATTAATTTCTTTTAAAAATAAACTAATCAGGACATAGCAAATGTAATATTCTAACAAAATACAACACTGAAAGAAGGTATACATGTCCTTTTATTGTAAAAATTAAATATTTCTTAAAAGCTTTGGTGGCTGATTGGATAATATTTTTAATTAAAAATGCACACTTAAATCTTATTAATGGATTTTAAGTTATAAAGGAAATTCTGACTACAGTTTTAATGGAACTGAATTTTATGATTTTAGGAATGGTTAATTTTGTTACTACTTCTTTTTTTTTTTAACTGGAAGCATTACCAAACTATGTTTTTTGAAACCTTCAGTAAGTTCCATTTGAGGCTTTTTACTAGCAAAGTGGCTTTTGGAAACATCACCTAGATGAGAATTCAAATGCTCAATAATAGCCATTGAAAAACAATGATTTCAGAGTCCCGGGCCTTTAGCTGGGTACTGTAGGTTTTTTGAAACCAGCAAAATCACTTATATCTCTTTGGCATTGTAGATTGACTCTCCCCGTGTATCTTTAATGCATCCACATTTTTTTTCTGAAAACTGCTCAGAAAGCTTGACCTTTGAGATATAAATGAATAACATTCATATAGGAACTTGTTCCAAATAATGGCCTATGCTGGGTCTAGTCAATTAGACTAACATGTCAAGCTTTATTTTAAATATCTGCTTAGTCGCTGTCTTGTAGATATTTTTTCCTGAATGTAAATCCTAAGAGACAGACATAAATCTTGAAAACTTGAACATGGCATGTACTTGAAGGTTGTCACTGGCCTTCATCACAGAATCATTTAATCAGGTTCAGGCTAATTTGGAGGATGAATGCTGATGAAAGAGGGCAGTTGATTATACATATCATTGTTACACCAATTGGTTTGTCAAACTGCCCAATTCATTCATCCTCTTCCATTTTTTCTTCCTCTAAAATATTATAGCTAAAAATTAAATAAAAGCATTGTGTGTGTGTCAGGTTTCTAAATTATGAAAACTATATTATTGATATGTACTACTAGAGTAATAGGAACTTCTTATATCCAAATGTTTCACTGTCTATATTTGCATACGCAAATATATTTTTGATACTGTTCATGAACACCTCAAATATACATTGAATACTAAATATTTTTCTTTTTGGATATTAGTCCAGAAAGGCTATGATTAAAATAAAAACAGAAAGACACACCGAGTCACAAAACTAATAGAATCAATTAAATAGTTACAGGATACATAGACTCTCAGAGTAAAATGTAATTGTTTCCCTGTTAAGCAAATAAAACAATAACTAAGAGTGATATATATCGGAGAAACAGATTCCAAGATGTATTATAACACTTAATATAAATACTATGTGATATTCTAGCAGTTAATGATTCCAACTATATTGTTAGCACATCTTATCTTATGTCCTTATGCTTGAAAGACATCCGACATTCTTTTTGTACAAAGTTGTAAATGAAAGTAAGAAATAAAAGAGAATATGCCAGAATAAGGAAGAAGAAAGGGGTTTAGTAAGAGTGGAATGGAAGAAAAGAATTGGAAGGAGGGATAAAAAGAGAAGCATATAAAGGGAGAAAGTAAAGGTAGAAACTTACAAATTTCTAGGCATATGGAGCACAGGATGATTGATGTGATTTTCTGATACCCATGATTTCTCTAAAATTTAAAGTTTAAATGCAAATGATTAACGTTAAAATGTAGAATAGTTAGAGGTACATGTTTAACATGGACTTACTGAAAACATGCTGGTTGGGCTCAGCTATTTTAGTGCATTCAACTTTAGTCAAATTGTGTTTTCTTTAAAATCTTTGTGATGCTAAAAATAATAATGATGTTTAATAATATGTATATTTATCAAAATGGACAAATAAAGACTTAATGCTACATATTAAGACATTTTTACACTGCTATAAAGAACTTCCCTGGGACTGAGTAATTTATAAAAGAAAGAGGTTTAATAGACTCAGTTCTGCATGGCTGGGGAGGCCTCAGGAAACTTAAATCAGGACAAAAGAAGAAGCAGACACCCTCTTCACAAGATGGCAGGAGAGAGAACAAAGGAAGAACTTCCAAATACTTCTAAGAGCATCAGATCTCGTGAGGACTCACACACTATCATCAGAACAGCATGGGAGAAACTATTCCATGATCCAGTCACTTTCCTTTCTTGACACGTTGGGATTACAGGTCCCTCTGTCCACACAAGAGAATTACAATTTAAGATGAGATTTGGGTAAGGGCACAGATCCAAACCGTATCATGCTATACTATCGTTTATAGTCAACAAGAATCTATGAATCAATAATCTATTCACTCATAATGAAAATGGAGTAATCAAAAATACCCTAAAAAGCCTAGTTTTTTCTTAGAAACTCTACAGTGCTCTAGTTTATTCCATAAATGTTTATGCTGTAATTATCAAAGATGTCATTAACTCTACACACAGGAATATTTTTCTTTTATTGCTGCCAAAATTTTATATGTCAGCTACTTTTTCATTTCCAAAATAAACCAATTAATTTTCAAAAGTATAATTAGTAATTTCAACTTGTAATTTTATTTTATTCACTTTATTTAATTTTTAAAACCATTTAGGTGTTTATATCCTATAAGTATACATTATCAATTCAACAATTGTCTCCCCAATGTTTACCAAATGAGAATTATGAAACATAAATTAGTCTAAGATACCTTTCAAATATTGCATTCTAATACTGCTAAATGATTCTACACATTTGGGCTGTTTTGGAACTTTAGTTAGTTAAACCCATATAATTGTGTTTTTTTTAAAATGCTTTCAAATGAATACTTTTATACAGTAAGTTGTACAGTAGGTTGAGTATGATCAAGTCAGGTAGAGCTGCTTATGTTTTAGTGCTTCTCAGAGTCTCCTGGAATGCTTGTTAAAACACAGGTTCCTTGAGTTCACCCTCAGAGTCTAACTTCATAAAGTCTGTGGTGCGTCTATGAATGTGACTTTCTCTTAAGACCTCAGGTGATATTCCTGCTGACAACACTATGTAGAGTTCAGAGTATGATTCAATCTATTTAGAGACCTTTTTTCAGCTGCTATCTAGTTTGTTCTTTAGTTGAGGAGCAAATAGTGAGATGCTGCATCTGGAAATAAACAAGGCCAGTTTCTCTCTTTTGTCTTGGGGGCTCTCTAACTTGTAGGTGAATGTTACCAATATTAAAGGGGTGAGGCTTGTCAGCATCACTTAGTCGGAAAGAACAGGCGATTCGGAAACAGAAGATTTTAAGTCTCAGTTTAACATTTATTAGTTGAGTACCCTTGGGCAAATTACTTAAACTTTCTGAATCTCATTTTTTTTTCTATTTGTATGGTAGGAATAAAAAGGCCCATGTGAAAATGTTATGGTAAGCATTTAAGAAATTAATCAACATAGATACATTATGAAAGCTATAAAGCACTTAACCCATATCCTTTGAGACTTCGTTCCGCTCATTATGCCCTCTATTTCCCCTACATTTTCAACGTCCCCATCTTCATTGGCTCTGTCTCTATGCCAGAAAGCATACTTTGCCCTCCATTTTGAAAATAGTTTTTTATGACACCATGTAACTGCCAACTTCTCCCCCAAGTCTCTCTCATAAGTAACCTTTGAAAAATTACCTACACTCCCTGCCTCTAGTTCCATATTGCTTAGTCATTCACCCAAGTACCATTGCTGAAATTCTGCTTTCACTACTAAAATGAAGTTGCCGTCATAACGATCACATTGACTTTATAAGTGTTAAATCAATGCCTATCAAGTGTGATGTCTCCCAAGTATGGGACCCCTAGCCCTAAGCTGGTGTGGCATGGCTCACCAATCACTTGCCCTGGAAACTCCTCCCAGTCTCAGCTGTAGCAACACTGCTTTCTTGGTTTCTCTTTTCCTCAGTCTTTGCTGCTATCTCTTCACATCTTGCCTCTATTTTCCCTCAGTCTGCACGTTGTCTCTGGAAGATCCTTACACATGCCTTCAATTCCCTTTTCTATACTTTGACAACTCGTCAGATCCACACATCTAATTCAAACTTCTTTCCTAAGCTGCAGATCCACCCAACTTTTAACTGAATATCTAACTGATGTCTAACATTTAATTACACGAAACTAAAAATTATGACATACACAGAATATGCTCTCATATTTTCTGCATATTCACAAGGGTGAATAGAAGTTCCATGCACCAGATTTAAATGGCTATCTGGGAGAATTCCTTTTGCCTGAATGATGCTTTGCCCTTTCTTCATCTGGAAAACATTTTTCCATCCTTTAGGTCAAAGCTTAAATATGATTTTCCCAGGAATTTTTCTCTGATCACCCAAGTAGCTTCTATTGTATTTCCTTAGAGCCCTACACCTCGCCTCTGGCATGGTTCCCTAGACATTGCCCCCTTTACATTGTAAGTCTCATGGAGTAAAAGTCTAAACTATCAGTACTCAGATGAGCATATGGCATATCATAGGTGCTTAAAAATGTTGTTTGACTCCCTTTTACAAAATCATTCAGGCATTCAACCGATAAACACTATGCCATCGTTCTTCTGGGTACTGGGTAAGCAGAGCAAAGCTCCTGCATCCCGTGTCAGAGACAGATAATAAACAAGTTAAGACAAACAAGTAATAAATAATCACAAAATTACAGTTATTATGAAAGAGAAGTATTGCACTGAAAAAATCTCCTGAATTAGAGATGTGGGGGAACTCAGGGAGTGAAGGAAACTACAGCATGGGGCAAGGCTGAAGAATGAAGCCAAGTCCACTCCTGGAAGAGACAGGCTGTCAAATCCAAATACTTTTCTAAATCGTACCCAGTAAATTTCAATGTTCTACTAATTGTTCAGGAAGAAGTCTCATCCTGGTATTTTTTTTCTACAGTCATCTTAATTCTATCTGGTAATGAATCTTTAGTTGTACTTTCATAGTACTTGGATATTTCTAAAAATGAACTTTTCCATATTAATATTTTAGTACTAATCAGTTTGTTTTATCATTTTTAACAAAACAAAGAGCCTTGAAGATATAGCCATGTTTTTTAGTAAATACATCAGAATAGTCTGTCAGTATAATTTACATATAAAATCTCCAAAACTACACTGAGATACCATCTCACGCCGGTTAGAATGGCGATCATTAAAAAATCTGGAGACAACAGATGCTGGAGAGGATGTGGAGAAATAGGAACACTTTTGCACTGTTGGTGGGAGTGTAAATTGGTTCAACCATTGTGGAAGACAGTGTGGCGATTCCTCAAGGACCTAGAAATAGAAATTCCATTTGACCCAGCAATCCCATTACTGGATATATATCCAAAGGATTACAAATCGTTCTACTATAAGGACACATGTACACGAATGTTCATTGCAGCACTGTTTACAATAGCAAAGACCTGGAACCAACCCAAATGCCCATCGACGATAGACTGGATAGGGAAAATGTGGCACATATACACCATGGAATATTATGCAGCCATAAAAAACGATGAGTTTGGGTCCTTTGTGGGGACATGGATGAACCTGGAAACCATCATTCTCAGCAAACTGACAGAGGAGCAGAAGATCAAACACCGCATGTTCTCACTCATAGGCGGGTGTTGAACGATGAGAGCACATGGACACAGGGAGGGGAGCACTACACACTGGGGTCAGTTGGGGGGAAATAGGGGAGGGATGGTGGGGGGTGGGAAGCTGGGGAGAGATAGCAAGGGGAGAAATGCCAGATGTAGGTGATGGGGAGGAAGGCAGCAAATCACACTGCCACGTGTGTTCCTATGCAACAATTTTGCATGTTCTTCACATGTACCCCAAAACCTAAAATGCAATAAAATAAATAAATGGGAAAAAAAAATCTCTAGTAGATGTATAATAAATTAGATTTATATGATCACATTAATGAAGGAAAAAACCCTATATGAGCATAGTGTTAATGAGAAACCAAAGTACAAAAGTGTTATTTTCCAAAAGTAATTTATTTTGGAATAAATTTTCATTAAACGATATTGAGTATCAAAATCAAAATTTCACTTTTTATTGTAGCAGCTGTAGGCAGTACCAACAGTAATCTAAGTCTCACATTTGTGAACTTAACTGTAAAATTTATAATACAGGTTTATCCTACACGTGGGTAGCAACTTCAGATTTACGACATTTCTAAATTCCAAGTCTAAGAAAAGCTTTAAATATTTAATGACTTTTGCCTATTTAAGTCATCTAAGTTAATAAAATGATTGTTTACAACAGATAATCTGTATCAGGATTTCTCAATCTTGGTACGTTTTGAGCTTTCTAACTTCTTGCTGTAGGGGTCTTGTGTGTTATAGGATACTGAGCTGAACCCCTGGCCTCTACCCAGCAGATGTCATTCGCAACTCCCAGGCCCCCAGGTTGTGACAACAAAATGTCTGATTGACAACCACTTGTGATATGTTTCAGCAACTTGAGGCTTCGGTTTGAAACATAGCATTTCATTCTTTCTTCAACACCTGGTTGTCCCTATTTTATGCCATTAATCTTACAATCCTTAATGAGATCTGTTATCTTTTTACATCTGAACAGTGAAGTCAGTTGATTCTTCTTTGGAAAGTGACTCAGGTTTTGTCAAATTCACTGGTTGTCTTGATAACAAGCATGATAAGGACAATTTTAAATTGTTGTTTTTCCCTAATTATATTTATAATTAATGATTGTGTAAAATCTAGAAAACTAAGTAAAGCATTAAAAAAAAGCTTCCACAAATAACTACTTTTTAGTATTTTGAAATACTTAGGTTGTCTGCATATGCTATTTATAAAATTGGGAAAATGCTACATGAAACTTTGTATTTATAGGTTGTAGTTTTCTATGACACTTAATATCATATTTTGTGTACTTGCCTGTCACTAAATATTCATTGAAAACATTAATTTATTATCTTTTTATATATTATAATTAGGAAAGATGATTTATTAATCTGCTCTTCTCAAAAGGTACTTTTTCTAATTTTTTAAATGATAAAAATTTAAGAGCATTATGAAAATAGTTTGATACATCGTCACCTAATGTTTAGTGTTTGAGGGTTGGCTTTCTTATTTCTATGTTAAAAAATGTAGATTTTGAGGCATCTTTCTTTACAATTCCTTTTTGATTATTTTCTTTTTGGTCTAATACTGACCACAGCTTTGTAAAAAATAAAGT